GCTGTGGCTCAAGTGGTAGAGCGCTAGCCTTGAGCTGAAGAGCTGAGGGACAGCGCCCAGGCCCAGAGTTCAGGCCCCACGACTGGACACCCCCCCAAAAAAAAGAAATAAATTATAGTTTCAGCGCTGTGACCAGGAGTATGCATTATAAATATTCAGGGGCTAGCTCTCCCCAAACAGCATGAAACACACAGAGATAGAGACATATTTATTATAAGTTTTCTGCTTAGAAAAGATGTGTGGCAAGTAATTTACAATTCCTAATAAACTGTACTATATTATACTCTTATCATAAATCTGGAGTGCCAAATCAATGTGAATGCATTGATTTTTGCCAAGTTTGTGAACATCTTTAGGCAACTTAGGTTGCAGTTGGTGTAGGAATGCTAGTTAACACTTTTCTGTATGAACAAGTAAGAGGGACAGCAAGGAGGTGCATCAGAATTTTACTTGTTTTCAATGGCACAAGTGATTTTATTTTTCTGAATCAAATACTAGAAGAACTATGTTATTTGCTTCAGATGGCATACTTCTAAGATTTATTCATACTACTATTTTGCAACAGTTTTTTAGCAGTCAACAAAAGAACAAATAAACTTTCCTTTCATATTTTGGTAGACAACAACTAACCATATGGCTGATTTCAAGCTGTAGATTGGAAGTCACTGAACACAGAATTGGGAATAAATGTGGAATAACACCCCATTATCTCTTAGCTCCATTATACAGATGTAATAGATGGAACAGACATTGTGGTACACACCTATAACCCCGGCCTTTGGGTGGCTAATGCACAAGAATTGGGAGTTCAAGGCCAGCCTGGACTACATAGCCAGATTCTGTCTTAAAAAATAAAAAAAGGGGCTGGGAAGATGGCTCAGTGGTAGAGTGCTTGCCTTGCATGCCTGAAGCCCTGAGTTCGATTCCTTAGCACCACATAAGCAAAAAAGAAAAAAAAAGCCGGAGGTGGCGCTGTGGCTCAAGTGGTAGAGCGCTAGCCTTGAGCTGAAGAGCTGAGGGACAGCGCCCAGGCCCAGAGTTCAGGCCCCACTACCGGACCCAAAAAAAAAAAAAAAAAGAAGATAAAATAACCTTAAAGCATAGATGATAAAATATACTATAATAAGTCAAAAGTAATGAGTTTGTGTACTTATTACTCTTGCTTTGAATATAATTATGATTTTATATCATTATTTTTTTGTGTGTGGGGGTAGGGATTGGGACTTGAACTCAAGGCATGACACTTGCTATACAAGCACTCAAACCATTTGAAACACATTTGCAGGACTTTTAGCTTGTTTTCTTTATCAGCTAGGGCCTTACACTTTTGCCCAACAGGTATTGAACTGAGATCCTCCTATCTGTGCCTCCTGAGTTGCTGTGACCACAGTTAGGTGCCACCATGCTGTGCCAAGCATATCTGTTTTAACAACTACCAGCTTGTTTAACTACTGAATGTGTAATAATCAGCTCCTCTTAGTCTAGCACAAAACAGCTATTTCCTGTTCCATGGACCATGTGACTAGATTTATCAGTTAATATTTCTACTTTGGGAATTGAACACAGGTTATTGCATATGGAGCTACACCTCAGCCCAGTAATTTCTGGTTTCGAACAAAACCAAAAACTGAGATACAATGAATGTACCAGGCACTTTTCCTATTTAAGAGCACAGCTCCATGGCTGTACAACCATCATCACAATCGATTTCAGAGCACGTTTTGTCACTCCATTAGCAGTTAGTCTTCATTCACACAAATCAGATCACTTAGTCTTTTGTGATTGGCTGCTTACTTTGCATAATGTTTGCAAGATTCAGCCATGCATTGGTACTTCTTCCTCCATCTATTTTTGCTTATGCATACATTTATATTTGAATAGGTTTCACTTTCAGACTAGTTTTAGATTTACAAAATAATTGAGAAGGAAGCCCACTAAATTCCCATACAACCCAAATCCAGTTTCCTTCATTGTTAATATTTTATATTGGCGTTGTCCATTTGTCATAACAAATAAACCAGTGTTAGTATGCTGTTATAAATAAAGGTCATTCTTTATTTGGATTTCTTTAATTTTTACCTCATGCCTTTTCCTTGGTACCTTATTTGGGATACCATAATACTTTTAGTTACTACATTTCCTCAGGCTCCTCTTGAATGTGCCTATATTTTTTTCTTATACCTTTGAGAAGGTTGAGGATTGCTAGTCAGGTGCTTTATAGAATGGCCCTTTAGGAAAATTGGTTTCGTATTATTTTGTCATAGTGAACCGTGGGATTATAGGTTCTTAAGAAGAGGGCCACAGAGGTAAAAGGATGTTCTCATCACGTTATTTCCAGGAGACCTGAGATCAATGTGGCTTTTCACTATTGATGCTGATCGTGATTCCTTGCCTGTGCTAGATAATCATGCTGCCCTGTCTAATTTCTCTATGGAGAAGTTTTTCCAGCTCTCCAGTTCCTGCCCCTCTTTCTATGCTGTGATCTTTGGAGAGAAATCACTATTCACCAGCTCACTTAGGTTTGTCTATCCTTTCCTTTCTTGTCCTATCCTATTCATCCATTCAGGTAAAAATTGTATCAGCATGGACTTACCGTTATCTTATTTTACACTTGCAACTGTACTCCAGTATTTATTTATTTATTTTTATTTATTTATTTTGGTTGGTCATGGGGCTTGAACTAAGGGCCTGAACACTGTCCTCCAGCTCTTCAGCTCAAGGTGAGCACTCTACCTCTTGAGCCACAGGGCCACTTCCAGTTTTCTAGTGGTTTATTGGAGATAAGAGTCTCACAGACTTTCCTGCCAGGGCTGGCTTTGAAAGGCAATCCTCAGATCTCAGCCTTCTGAGTAGCTAAGATTATAGGTGTGAGCCACCGGTGCCTGGCCTTACTTTTGTTTTATTTTATTTATTTATTTTTGGGTCTGGTCATGGGGCCTGAACTTTGGGCCTGGGCGCTGTCCCTCAGCTCTTCAGCTCAAGGCTAGCGCT